GCGAAAGCGAACGGTGCGAACGATGCCGGGAGGGAAAACAAGGCGCTTTCCTCTCCCTGGATCAGATCTCGCCAGGGACGTTTCTCGCTTTCCCCCAAATAAGATGTTGCTAATCGGGGAGCGCTCGCTTTCCTCTCACGGTGCCGAGCCCGTCCCCTCGCCCAACACCGTCCCGGAGGCGAGGGCCGCTCCCGCCACCTCCCCGCTGCCGGTGGCCCGGCCGGGGGCGTGGAGACGATCCTTCGTCCTCCCCCAGGAAAGCACTTTCAGGACGCGGGAGCCCTTTCCTTCCTTCCCGTTCCCTCCCGCCCGCCTGAGGCGAGGGCAGCGCTCCCTTTGTTCCCCCGCCGAGCGCTCCCCCCAGGCGCGGCCGCCCCTCACCAGCAGGCTCTCCACGTTGACCGGGGAGCGCGGGTCGCGGATCATGGACTCCAGCTTCCTCTGGCGGCCCTCGAGCATCCCCGCCGTTGGCTCCAGCGCCTCGGCCGCCAGGGGAGCCGCCGACATCTTCCCCGCCGGCTGCTGGCTCATCCTCCGGCCCGCCTGGTGCCGGGCCCGCGGAGGGCACTGCGCGGGGCCGCCCGGCGGGCCTAGCGCGGCGGCGAGCCCGGGAAGGGCGGGGGCGGCGAGGCGGGAGCGGAGGGCAGCGCCGCCGGTGGCCGCCGCCCGGGCATGAAGGGCGAGGGAAAACGGCCGCTGCTCCGCCCGGGCGCGGGGAGAGGGAGGGGAGAGAGCTGGAAGGGAGGGACGGAGCGCTTCCCGCCGTGCCTCCGCCTCTCGCCGCTCAGGGCGTCCCTTGGCGGCCGCCGCCTCACTGCCCGCTCCGCCGGGACATCGCTCTGAGGGCGGGGAGAGGCGGGCAGCGAAGGGGGAGCGGCTGCCGCGGGGTCGGGCTCAGAGTGCGGCTCTCTCTGCAGCGCTCGCCGGCTGCTGGGGCGGGAGCCGCGATCCCGCCAGCCTCGCTTTCCCTCTCCGCTTTCCGCGTTCCGCCCACCGCCGGCCCGGCGCGGCCTCCCGCTCCCGGCCCCGCGCAGGCCGCCTCCCCTACCCATAAGGCCCCGCTGCGAGCGGCGCATTGTTCGGCGCTCGCCCGGCGCCCGGCTGCAGCCCTGAGCTCGGCGGGGCCGTGCCCGGCCTGGGCAAGGCAGCCGCTCGGAGACAGGGCTGTGTGCGTTTTGGCTCATGAGACCTCAGCCTGCCCGCATGGCGTCAAGCACACAGGAAAAAAAAGGCAGAAATATTTGAGAAGGTGGGAGAGCAGTGTTTCCGATAGAGCAGCAGTGCTCACGGCATGAATCAGAGATTCGTGGAACGGTTTGGGTTGGAAAGGACCTTAAATATTTTCTAATTCCAAGCCCCCTGCCGTGGGCAGTGGCACCTTTCACTCGGCCACATTGCTTAGGTCTCCTTCCAGCTTGGCCCTACCACATCAGGGATGGTGCCTCCACAATTTCCCTGGGAAATTCCAGTGCCTCACCACCCTCATGGAAAAGATTTCTTTCCCCCATATCTAATCTAAGCCTACACTCCTTGAATTTGAAACCATTCTCTCTTGTTTTGTTGCTACATGGTCTTGTCAATAGTCTTGCCCTTTTCTATAAACTCCCTTCAGGTATTGAAAGGCCACAATAAGGTCACCCCAAAGCCTTCTCTTTTCCAAGCTGAACAGTCCAAATTCTCTTATAGGAGAGGTACTCCATCCCTCTCCTGTGTGTATATCCTACATGTATGAGAAGGAGAATGAAGAACTAGGCAGAGGGGAGCTGTGCTGGGGAAGGTGCAGGCCATCCTCATGCCCCTCGAGGAAGATGAGCCTCCACACTGTGCTGGAGATGGGTACAGCCACCTTGCTGCGCTCGGTGGGCACTTTGAGGGGACAGGATGTTGTTTATCAGACCCAGGCAAGAGTGGCTACAGCAGGGAGACTGAGGCTACTGATGCCTGAGCTGTGGCTGCAGGGATGGAGGTGGGGAATTGGATGGTAGGGACGCTCCATGGAATGCCATGTGAAGTTGTGGCCAAAATATGGTTCCAGCAGCCCTGAGATGTGGCTGCTGGGCAGATGTTCTGGGGCAGAACAACAGAGACTGTGGAAGTGTCATTCACTAAAGTGGAGGGACCTCAGGGAGGAAAGGTTAACATTTTACTGTGTTGACTTGCAGCTGATAGCTGGCTGGCAGTGAGCTGATGTCAGAAATGTGGCTCAATATTTTAACTTTAAAGGAAGAGGAGAGAGAGTCAGAGAAGTAAATATGTGAGTCACTTGCGAGATCACACTCAGTGATATTCTGAGTCAGGGCCCTGGTGCTAAACAACTCCCAACTTGAGGGAAGGTCTGCTCTGAATATCACCTAAACTCCATAACTGGATTCTGCTTTTACAGTCCACTGAGTCAAAATCCTCAAGCCTCACAGAAACACGCACACACAAGAACATTGTGAAAAGTCAATATGGGCGTTATCGCTCACGCTTTACAGTGAACCACACTGAGTTTATGAGAGTTTTCTGAAGGAACTGGTGAAATCTGTTTAGGAGAGGCACTGGTTATTTATATCTTAGAACTACTTCATCGTCAAAACAGATTAGGATCTGCTTAACTGCAGCACCACCAAAAAAAAATCTCATCGTCTCCTCAAACAGTTTACTTTGCTAGGAGATAAAAGAAGTGAGTGTGAGAATGAATTGGGTTGCTACTAGGATTATATGTGGGTACTAACTGGATCATGAAGTTACACAGCCTTTCAAAATAGCAGTTCAAAACTCTAAATTACCTAAAATAAACATGATTTCTTCACTTGCAACCTATTCATTAGCTAATTTTTAGAAGCACAACAAAAATGTTTTGGCTTTTTAAAAGGATTTAAAATAGGTTTGGAAAACAGATCAAACATAATAAGCGTGTCTCTAGTGATCAGTAAGGAGCTTGTGCTAAGTTCTGTTACTGTGAACAACAATTTTGGGGACGATTTCAGTGAACTCAGAGTTGGGCACTAGGTGATCTGATGATCTAAGCTCTTAGTTTCCTCTTAGCTATAGGCAACGTGCTTCTTTTTTGTTTTAGTTTTTCTTATCTATAAGCTTTGTAAAAAATGATCTTTAGCTTATGTGATTTAATGGCTTTGTTCAGAATGCTATCTAAACAAAGGTAACAAAATCTTAAATAAGCATAACAGCCCTTTTTACATAGGAAAAAAAGTGTGATTGTGACTTCAAAAGCAAGTGTGTAGAAATAGTACCTTCTTGAAATTCTTGCCCAATAGATCTATTCTTCCACCCTTCAGGACATATCTGTTTACTAGCTAAACAAGTTTTACTCTGTTACGGAGACACATTGACAAAGGTAGTCAGCTGAATTCCTTTGTATGACACAAATCCTCAACAAAATCATCAGCAGAAGATTTATTGCTGGTTGTAAGTGACTAAGTAACAAAAATAGTACTCAGAAAGTCTAATCCTTCTCTCAGTGTTTGCAAAAAACCTCTGTTTTAATGTGCCCTAGAGGAAAAATGACACCACCTTCTGTGGTCTTTTTACAGTTCTACTTTTTCTGCCTTCAGTGGTGTAAATCTCTCAGGGTATCACCTATTCCTACAAGGACTATCTAAGGCAGAACTCTTCCTACTCTCTCTGTGTATGCTAGTTTTGAAGTCCCATGCAGTGAATTGTCAAATGTTATTTACTATGTTTTGTAAGGCAAAGTCCAAGCCTTCCAGTATGTCTGCTGTAGCTTTAAGCCTAGGACTCCACAGTTGGATCCTTCATCTCTCTCTCTATTCCCTGAAATGCTGCTGAACTCTTTAGATAATCTACAGTCCAAATATGTTTTAGGTGTCCCAAGGCAGTAGGGAATTCACTGTTGACCATTTTCACAACTGGCTACATTTATAGGTACAGATTTGTAAGATGTTCATACTTGGGGCTTACTGGTTAAAAGCCATCAGCTTCAGGTAGTTCCTTTAGGGTATTCCATAGTCCCCAAGCTGATTCAGGGAGAAGAGGGATTTGGCTTTGGACCTCAGGCATGCTTTCGCTACTGTCGCAAAAGAAGCAAAAGGAGACAAACCACCCATGTGTGCATCTGTTTTAAGAGATGGGGCTGTGGTTTTAGCACTTGCTGCTGGCTAAATAAGGCTTTTGCAAATCCTCTTTTCAGGCTCTCACTCTGAAAATATTTGAAGAATATAAGAGCACTACCAACAGGGGAGTTGATTCTCCTAATAGCTAGGTTCTCTAAAATTTAGATCACTAGATCTCGTGGATCTAGTCCATCTTTGTGTTTTGCATATGGGAGAACAGCTAGAAGAGCTAAGTGAGTTGCCAGAGATATCATGGACTATCTCTGTTCAGTGACATGAATCAACTCTATCCCAAATGAGAAGCAAGTTGTGACAACAGAGTATGATGGACAAAACACCTGTCAGTAGTCCAAGCAGATAGAGTCTTTGAAAGCTGCCAAAAGTAAACCATGTCAAACTGCTACACGCAAAGGTGTGTAACTATCGTCACTCGCTCAGGACGCTGCACTGACGTGGATCAGTGTTGTTGTGATGGAAATAGGACAAGTCATGTTTTAGATAATGAAGTCTTGAGTCTTTGGAGGGCGTAGCTAAAGATCATCATTCTACTTCCAGAAAATAGATTTATGTCATTAGTACAGGGGTTTCTTTACTTTTATATTCATAAATATGAACTAGAGGTGAAAAGGAATATAAGTTTATTGTCAGTTTTGTTTGTTTGTTTTATTTTTCCTTTCTCACATGATAGTGTTCAGTCAGCCTAAGGCTTAATAAATTATTTCTTCTGGATTAAAAATAAACTTCTTCATTTTAGGTTAGTGAAAACAGACAGGAAGACAGGTACACAACTTGTGTACATAGGAGTTACATTTTTGAAGGACTTGCAAAGTCAGCCTCAATCTTCATCATTAATATACTGATTCCAGTATTGTCTTGGGACAAATAGTACAGTTATGTAAAGTCCACAGGAAAAAAACCCCAACATTGTTTAACATTCTTTCATTTAATTCATCTCTTGCATTGTAACAAGAGGCTTTAAATACAAGCAGCTTTTCAAACCCCATGCGTTTCCAAACCAGCCTCAGTAAGACTGACACTACCACATCAATTACTAGCACAGGCCAGCTATAAAATTACAAAACCACTCAGCCATCTGTATAATTAAATGCAAACCAAAGTAATCAAGCAAATGCTAAAGAAAATGTCTTCATCTGGTAAGCTTTGTAGGTAAAGGCCTATATCTACTGTTCTGCTTGGAAAGGCATGTACCTTGTCTCTGAAGGTCCGCCAGGTAGCTGCTTCCCATTTTTTCAAACAGTATATATAGCTGATAAATATTAATAAATACCAACTAATAATAGAATTATTGGATGGTATACTGTCAGTTGCTGTGTTAAAGTCAGTATCTTAAGCACAAATACCAAGGAATCAAGAAAAGGAGGTGTGAATCAAAAGTGGCTGTGTAATGTCTGGGTGTGTCTGATAACGCAGGACTTGGTCTCTGCCTGGCTCTTAATTGCTTACATAACTCCCCAGCTAAATAACATTGCTTTTGTTAATAAGGTAGTTTCATAGTTTCTTGGATGCATTGGGAAGACAGAAGTGAAGCTGTGAATCTAGGTTAATTGAAATGCTTACGTGATGGTGATATGCCAGATTCTCTGCTGTAAGTCTCAGGAGGAAACTTGCAGTAAGTGTAGCTTGGAGACTAAGGACAAAGTGACCTCGAGTTTTTCTTTGCTGCTTTGTGCATATAGGTGAAGCTTAGAGCTCTGTGGCCCTAGGTGTAAATCACAGTTTGAGAGACTGCTGTGATTTATGAAATCCTTGCTGTTATGCTGTCAGTAGGCTGTTTATACCTCACAGTACCTTGGAGCAGAGGAGGGTTTTTGCAGCTCTTCTTTCTGCAGCACTTCCTTTACATGACACATTGTAAAGGTTGAAATATTGGAAATATGCAGGAGTACAATGCTGCTGGTCCTTTGGAAGTGCTGGCCAGAGCTTCTCAAAGCTGTCTCTGCCTCCTTTTAATTTGACAAGGTGACTAGAGATTGATTCAGACCTGTCACTTGTATGCCTGTAACAATCTCTTCCAGTGAACACATACCTGTAAGAACAAAAGCTTTTCTGATAGTTTATTCTGTATTTAAGATCAAACATTTAAACATTAGATACTGAATGGGAATTATGAGAAATGTGGCCAAAGTCCCATGTTTTCCTAGATGAGGCATAATCTGAACCAGCATTTTCAGCCTGATCTGATCCAGAATTCTTTAGCAGAATGAGAACCCATGTATGCATTTTCCTTTCTCCATCCTGTGGCAATTCATGTTACACAGTACACCTTCAAATAAAGTTCCTAGACACTGTCTTGCAGGATGGTGTGTGGTTTTGCAGGAAATTGCTTTAAGAAGAAATGGGATGGCAGGAAGAAATGGCTTTGTAGCCTTTCAATGAGAACACTCAGCAGGATGGAGGCAGAGAGGGAGGTGGCAAACTTAGCGACCCTCACAGTTACACAGCTATTGAGTTTTTTTGAATTGTCATCTTGGATTTTGGTGTAAGAACCACTGGAGGCACCTAATCAATCTTTCTTTTGATCTGGCCTTTTGCCATAAGTATGCAGGAACTGGCTTGGAAAATGACAGTAAAACCCCAGGCACTGAATGCTCCCTGCAATTAGGAGGAAATTCCAGTAGACGATGACTTGGATAGAGCAAGCTAAAAAAAGATGATTAGTGTAGAGGTTCTGTGTGCATCTCTGAATACCCACATTATGTGTCTCTGCATCAGCACTGTCATTCCTGTGATCTGCTTTTCATCAAGACTTAGCTACTGTTAATTGTGGGGAAACCAAGCCAGTCCAGCTGATACCAGGGTGTAAACAACTACAGCGGCTGTGCCTGCTCTCAGGGAACCTGCAGGGGCTGTCAGAGACTTCAGGTCTTACTTCTTACTTACTACAGTACTTAAGTACTTCTTACTTACTACAGGTAAGAACAGTTGTGAGTGCACGAGTGAAAACACAGCTATGCATATAAAAGTGGAGGGAGGGAGGGAGGGAGGGAGGAAGGAAGGAAGGAAGGAAGGAAGGAAGGAAGGAAGGAAGGAAGGAAGGAAGGACAGTATGTTTAAATACTGTTATTTCTAGACTTGGCTGTCAAATAATAAATAGGATTACTGTATGAAGAGGCTGACATAGAGATGATCTCAGTTTTGCCCCAGTCTTTGGTGATGGGGACAATATTAAAATGAAACACTACACATGGATAAGAAACACATATGTTGTAATACTTCAATTTTGCATGTTTATGGATAAGAAAAATTAAGGTATTACTGGAGGTAATTACAACCAAACTGGAAGAAAACTTGGAAGATTTTGATGTGAGAAAGCTGACATTAGTGGGAATTATTAGGAGATGTTTTTTATAGGAGAATAAAACATTCTGAAGGATATCATGCTATTCCCAAAGTAAAAAGAACTCACTTCATGTAGGATAACAATGCCTTATGAGGTGAAATAGAGAGGTAAGTATTAGTTGAATCCTTGAGGATTTGTTTTGGTAGGAACTACAAGGAGCAGTCCTGGTCCCTCTTGTTTAAACTTTTTGACATTGGAACCTTTTTGTTTACCAGCATGAAATCCAGGACTATGCTGTTGATCCTGTTTGCATCAGACAACATCAGTAGACAGTTGAGGGTTGGGATATTGCTCAGAATATCTGGATCAGCTCAATGATGGGAATGATAGAAACAGGACATTTTAAAAATGGTAGAGTCTATAGAGAGAGTGCCCTTGGGGACTAGTAAGAAATTCTGATGTAATGTGGGAACGTACCACTTGGAAATAGCTGAGGAGAATTACTTCAGGCTTACATTAGCTAATGAAAACATGGAATTAAAAAGTATAAATGGTATTTGTAAAATTTAACAAAGATACTCAAGTGAGATAGGATAGGGCAAGATCCAGTTAGAACACTGCGACATAAATAGGTCCATTCCTCTGATTGGAGAAGAGGAACTGAAAATGGGAATTTGGCAGCGATAAAGGAACAAAGCAGCCTGTTTCATGGAGATAGCTTGAATAACTCAGTTTTCTAGATCCAGCAGAGAAGTGAATGAGAATATGGTGGTGTCTAAAGATACACCAAAGACAGCAACCAAGGAGTTTAAGAGCTGTACATTACAGAGGAGTGCTGGCAGAAGAGCATATGTGAGTAAACTGGTCACAGATGAGTGCAGATGGGAAATAAGACTGCTTCTAGCTATTCACAATGCGGGGTTAGAACAACCTTCATCCAAGTAAAGGCAGCCAGAAAATACCTACCTGCAGTGTATCAGTGCACTTTGACAGGGCCATAAGATATGGTGTCTGGCACCACAGGGACTGGAGTCGGGAGCATTGAGTTGGGAGTTCTCAATGTCATTTTCAGCTCTTATGTGGCTGCAGAAATAAGGGTTTGTAAGAAGCATAGGATAGTCTGGATGAAGGTTATCAAACTATTTCATGATCAGTTAAAGACTTGGTGGAAGTAACATTTGTGCTCAAGAACTGCAGTGAATGTCATAAAAATCAGCACAGTGTAGACATAACTAAACTGGCTGCTTTTCTTTGCTGAAAGAAAATAACCTGAAGGTTATGTCTATGCGTGAACCATTAAATGTTATGTTTTAATCCAATGTAGAGTATTTGCTTTGGATGCTTGAAAGAATGTCATAGCATGGATATACTACTTTTGTCCAAGGGAACTTGAAGAAGAATTCTACTTCTTAGAAAGCTGTCCAAGGACTTGGTATCCATGAAGCAGGACAAAGGGGAGATTCTTCCTCACAATGAAGCTGGTGACCTGCACAAAGGCACCAAGTTTGTTGGATCAGCAAGGGGGAGCATGAGAATCACAGCTTCCTACTCTGGAAACCAGCCTGCTCCTTTGGGAGGTTTGTCCCCATCCCTTGCAACTGGGACAAAATCAAAGTGGTCACAGGAAGGATTGAGTGTAGTCCACCTCAACAGAGCCTCTGTTAAGGGGTCTCTGCTACCTAAGTAAATGCTGTGATCATTGAGCTGTTGGGTAACTGGGGATTTTCCTCCAACACAGTTTATCCCCTTCTTTGTTTTTTTTTCCAGCCAAAACTATTCAGCAAATTTGAAGCAAATAGTTTAGACATGACTGAAACCACATTTTCGAGGGAATTAACTATTAAATAAATAAATAAATCACCCAACTCTAACTATTACCTCTTTTAAAATCCATGATGTCTCTTTTCCACATAAATTGAAACTTTTTTTTTATTAGTATATGTAATTAAATGTAACAGTTTGACCCATCTATCCAGCCGGGGTAGTAAATTTGGGCTCCTTATTTGTGCTGTTCTGGAGTGTACAAGCTGTTTTATAATACTTACAACTAATGCTTATTTCTTTGGTTTACTCATATTTTCCTTTTATTTGCAGCCGCTTTCATCCTATCAGTTCCAACACCTGATTGGTGTAGGAGAGAGAACTCTTCTCCATTACATTTTCATGCTTTTCTAATCAACTAATTTAAACCAATAGAGAAATAAAACACTTTTTGCAGTGACTCTCATGCTAACGTGTTGATAGTTTAAATAGATTATGCCATTCCACTAGATACAAGCTAAACTGCTGGAAAAAATCAAATAAAAGGATATAACTAGATGTAGTTTTTAATAGTGTTAGAACTATTCAACCTGAACAAGAGGGGTTGGAATTAGATTATCATCAAGGTCCTTGGTAACCTAAACCATTCTGTGAATCCATGATTCTATGATTTCTGGTCTTCTCTCTTGGACCTTGTAGAACTCCAAGCATTGCATCTCATGTTTCCAACTGGTAGTGTCCAAACACTCTCCCTGGGACGCCACGAGCAGCCCTCTGATGCATCCCTTGCAGCATTTCTTAGGACTGCTGGCTGCCGTGTGCGATTGCAGCTGGCCAGGAGTGCGAAGTGGTGCTTTGCTTCAGAAACCGTGGAAGGATGGTTGCAGACATCCCTCTAGTGGCCCCGCGGTGTCCGGGACGGCGGGAGCAGCTCTGGCACCCCCGGGCTCAGCAGGGCCAGATGTGCTCCTCTGTGCAGCTGGGTCCTCTGCGGGCTGGGGAACTGGCACATAATGTCTCCCTTTTTCCGTTTCACCAAAGTTTCCCTGGAAACTGCACCAGTTCGGGGTGTTTAGAGTGTTTGTTTCACAAAAGCCTTGATACTTGAAGGCTGAACCCATTTCACTGGCCACTGTAAAAAACAGATGTAATGGGAGGTGGTATGAGGAAAGGGTTAATCCTGTCTCTAAGTTTTTTTTTTAAATGGCAGTTTATTTAACCCAGAGTGAGGAAAAACTTTGTCATCATTGAAAAAAGAGACAAGTTATACTTGAAGATTAATTAAATGTTTCATATCTTCTCATCTCTTTAATACAAGACTGATAGAATATCAAAGCGGGGGGAGCCCCAAAAACCCCAAAGTATATGTAAAATAAATAAAAGGAACACTTATTTGTACATCTGTACAGTTCGGCTTCTCAACTGAAATTGTCAGCAGGATGCTAATTATGTTTATATGTTTGAAACATTGAATTTATTTTGCTTATTAATTTGTTATAAGGACGTGCAGCAGAAATGAGAGCCCTGGGATAGCATCGTGAAGAGGTCTTCAGTCTTCACCGAAAGGGCGCTGTCCCAGGGCACCCACTGTGGTTCCTTCATGGAGGACAGCAAGTCTGGGGATTGCCCTTGCTGGTGCTGGACAAGCATCCCACGAAGGGTCTAGGGAAGCTGGCACTCTCTGAGGAGTCACTGCAGAGCAGAACTGAGCAGAGTTTGCAAAGGAGATCAAGACACTCCTCCCTTTTTGTAAATGGACACAGCACAGAGGAATGATTTGTTCCAGAGGCAGCAAGCTGCCTGACAGCAGCAGGATGTGGTGTTGAAAGGAGATAATGGGTTTATACGTAAGTGAAACTGTCCTTAAAGGACAGCCCACCCTGAGATTTTTCTCTGTATGGAAACAAAAACCACAGATCTCATCCTTCTGATAATGGTAGTTCTGTATCTCAGTAATTCACCTGTACTACCAGTATTACCATTGTGAATCCATTATTACTTTTAAATAAGAATTACCTATGCAAAAATACCATAGTGCAACAATTAAGTAAATTGTACTTAGAGCTGAACTCAGGCCCATTTCAAAGCCATCATTTGCTGTTAATAAAGCCATGGCTGAATGAGTATTTCTGGTTGAACCTCGATTTTATTAAACTGATTGAAAGCAATCAACTGAACACACACCACCATCCTGATCAGGTTTTGATTTCAAAGGTGGTAAAAAAACTTTTTAAGTTGCATTAGGGAAATTTTTTTTGCCTTTTTAGCTCTGTATAATTTTCCTTCCAAATTATAAACCCTTCTTTGCTGACTTTCCTCCTTACACCTCAAAAATAGCTCAATGTGTCAATTTGAGAGATGGGACAAAATTGGCATAAAGTCAGCAGAGAGAACATAAATGCCTGAGACGTTTTTAGGCGACATCTATGTAAACAATTGCTGTTGTCTTGTTTTCATTTCCAGGCAACTGATCCTCAGAGACACATACATAGAATACAGACAACAATATCTGGACAACTTTCCAATCCGTTCTTTCTGAGCAATTTATACTTTCTCCATGTATAAAGGAACAGTGTTTTACAGATTGGGGATAAAATATATCTTGATTGGAAGATACTTGTTTAAAAGAGTCTGATCATCATCTAATGTCACAAATTTAAAGTCTTTTTGAAAGAAGTAAAAGCCTTGAGCTTCAACCTGCAGTAAATTTTTAATACAGTCTAGAGTATTTCAGACCAGGAGAAACACATGATTAATCAAGAAATACACATTAATCTACATTTGCCTCTTCTGCTGCTCAGTGGCTCAGGGTTGTTAACGTTTTTTGAGTCAAAACTACTAATCTCTGCATGGACTCTGATAGCCAATGTGTCAATTTTGGCAATTTGAAAGACTATAATTAGTTTCTATCCCTTTATTCACTTCTTGAAGATAAATCTGTAATTAAGTATTTTTTTATCACAAAAGGCAGTGCTAATGCTTTCACAGTATTTTGCTTTTACTTTGCTTTATTTTAACCTCTAATCATAGGAAGAATTAATCCTATATCTCTATATTTCCCCCATTACTATTCTTGCAGGATAGGATAATATATTGCATTATTTCAAATGTGTTTGTTTTTTCTTCAGCTGGATAAATACAGAAATCACCTCCAATAGCTTCTTTCCAGCCTGAAGACAATGGCTCAGCAGGCACTTAAGGTTGAAGTTGTTTCTAAAACCAGGGAGATTTTTCTTGTGAGAAATTGTTTCTTACACAAAGTATTACTGGCACTGATGGTGAGAATGTTGCTTGGTAAAAAGGTTCTCTGACGATCTGTGGGGAGTAGCATTATCAAGTAAATTACAGTTCTAGCTCCTGACTGAATTCTGTGCAACCTGCTTTAGTGTATAGGATGGAGGCACTGTGTGGATATTGTCCTGTTTTTGTAGGTGTTTTACGGATTGTGAAAAGATCACAACTAACTTCAGGGAAGCTTGATTGGATCCTTGAATGCCCAGCTAGCAGCAGAGTGTCTGGTATTGGCCACAGTGCACTGCGGTCCAGGAGAGCTCCAAGGGTCCCACTATGGGCTGGTGTTTACAAGAGAGCTAGCTTTAGTCACAGTAATTTTCCATCCTGGCCACAATTCAGGCTGGTAACTTTATTTGAAAATTTGATAACGAAGATTTTATTCCACTTAGGTTGTTATTCAGGCAACAAAAGTAAGTTTCCAAGGCTGTTCATTAAAACAGAAGCTTGTTAGACAACAAAAGTTCCTGGGAGAAGAGTGTTTCTGGTAAGCTCAAGAGAAGCTCAACCAGCTGCTGTTTGCCAAGGCTGAGGCCTAATGAGCATTTTTGGGATCACAGTGTGGCTGGGGTGGGGGGAATGCACCCCCACAGTGGGCTAAGTCAATAAAAGAGTTGCAATGTGCTGAGCTTGGATCTTTGAATTTGCTGTTACAGCTTCTAGGATTGTTTTCTATAACCCCATCCCTTGATCTAGAGTCAATTGGAAACACCACTTCATTCATGGATCACAAGGTGAGGAGCTCCCATCAGCCCACGTCCACATGGTGGGTGTCTGGAGAGCGCAGCTCCAGACCCTCAGATCACCCACGCCTGCAGGGGTGGCAGGGAAGAACCAGGGTGCCACACACAGACAGAACCAGGCTGCCCTTTCTCTGCAAACATTACATTTTCTTCAAACACAGATCATGCTTTTCAACTAACAAGTATCTGAGTCCTTCAGTAAACATCTACAAACAGTGAGAAGCCTCGTCTAGATTTATGTAACCTACACAACCAAGGGTAGTTTATACGATTTTAGCCTCAATGCACTTCTCACAAGTTACTCCAGGCAGATCAGAAGTGGAACCAAAACCAGCAGATTTGTGTTCCTGATAAGCCCTTCAGCAGTTACTAAGGTCCCAGCAGGGTGCAGGGGCCAGCCAATGCCAGGATCATGGAAAACAAGAGTTTAGAGCTTGCAGCCAGCCCCAGCACACTGGGAGCAGCTCATGGCCTGGCCAGCAGATGAACCTTGCCACTGACAAGGACTTCTGAAATCAGTGTTTAATTATGCTTATAAAATGAGGCTCTTCACACACACCAAAAATATTATTCAAACTGAAGAAAATTGCTGACTTTCAAATGCTTTCCAACAGACAACAATTTGCAGGAATCTTCTCTCTCCTTAAAAAATCACATTATTTAAAACTGTAGTTCACCCCTGAAAACTGACAAGTGAATTCCCACACCAAGTAAGGGCTGAACTGGCAACCTGCAATGCTTTTACAGTAAGAATCAGCAAAACCAGGAATTTAATAATTATGGGTCCTGGCTGTTGCTATTGCTGATTGATGCATTAACATTCTTAACAATTCTTATTGAAGGGAAGGCAGAAAGAGTACTAGAAACTTTTAATTTATCAGAGTCCTCAAATAGCCAAGACAGCTTCTTACACATACAAATGTACTGAAAATGAACAGATGTAGACTCAGCAAAAAAAATAATCTCTCAGAAAAAAAATCAAACATTACTACACAAATTCAGAGTAAGGTCCTGTCACATTTACAAGTGAGCTTGTAACTTGTGTCTAAGTTCAGCATCACTCAGGAACTTTTCAAGTCCAAGCTGAATCTTTTCAGCTAATTAGTGCATTGAGCTTATACAGTACATTGCTTTCCAGTATCACCAATGGCTAATACTGTACATAACCAAGTAGCAAAAGCAGTGGTTTAATCTTCAAAAGTCCATTCGTTCTGCTGAAGGTGCACTATTACAACAACAGATGTATTAAACAAAATAGTAGCAGTGTAATTGTCATATTACAGCTTCTTCCATTTCACTGTGACAACTGCATGGCTAAAAGCATTAATTATACTGCTAGAAAACCTGTACAAATGAGTGAGGAAAAACAATCACTAGAGATTTATTCAAAATGAAAAATTCTCATGTTTCATTTAAATGGATTGTTCCACTGTTGAAGACAATCTTCCTTAACATTTTTAAGATGGTTATTTTGTAAAAATGCACTTCCTTACTTTTTATATAAGGTAGGTAATGGCTAAGAGTTAGAGAGTTGGTTTAGATTAAATATTAGGAAGAAATTCTTTATTATGAGGGTGGAGAGACACTAGAACAGGTTGCCAGGAGAAGTTGTGGATGCCCTGTCATCTCTGGAAGTGTTCAAGACCAGGTTGGATGGGGCTTTAAACAACCAGGAAGAGAGGAAATGGCCTCAAGCTGCACCAGGGAGATTCAGGTTGGACATCAGGAAGAATTTCTTCACTGAAAGAACTGTGAAGCACTGGGAGGTGGTGGAACCACCATCCCTAAGGGAGTTCAAGGAACATCTGGACCTGAATCTCAGTGCTATGGACTACTTGACATTGTGGTGTTTGGTCAAAGGTTGGAGTTGATGGTCTTGGAGGTCTTTCCAACTTAAATAATTCTGTGATGTAGGGGAAGCTGTCCCTGCCCAAAGCAGGGGCGTTGGAATTATGTGACCTTCAAGGTCCCTTCCAACTCTAACCATTCTAGGATTTTATGATTATGGAACAAAAACCTACCCCAATATACAGCATTCAGAATTAGTTAGTTATTGAAGTGGAGGGAGAAGACCCACCTTCCTTGATCAGCATCGACTCCATTTATTGACTCAATCAGTCACTTTTTATAACCGTATTAATTAAGTTCATGCATATTGCAAACCCGAGCTCACAACAGGTCAGAGATAACACACCAACCCCTCCTTTTGTTTCCAATACCAAGATTTGTGTTCTCAAAACTTACTTTTACTTTCCCAAAACAGCCAAAGATAGAATATCTACTTGTTATGAGAAAGCTGCCTGAGAACTCTGGTATGCAAGGTTCTCAACGCCTTCATGTTTGTCACTTTTACTTGTAATTAAAAACAACCTGAGAACTTCTACTGTTTACAGAAACAGGCTGTGAGAATTTGCTCCTCACAGCTGCCTTCTAAGCCATTTCTGAAAAAATCTCCAACAGTTAGTGTTGGAAATTTTTATAGGTTTTATGGGAAACATTGTCCTGAGTTGTTGAACTAGTGTAGGGGGAATCAATGCTTCTCTTTTGCTCAAACTCCAACAAAACAGAACAGCAATGTAAAACATCAAATAGAGTTTGCCATCTGAACAGAAACCAGCCACTGAAGCAAAAGGACAATTCTCCTGTGCAAAGAATGCTTAGTTTTAACCCTCATTCCCAGCTTCACTGGAGGAGCACCTTGCTCATTTTCACTCTGTTCTATGTATTCATTGTGCTGTCACTTTGTTTTTATTTATTATTATTACAGCTCAGCCTGTAGTTTGAATTTCACAGACAAAAAAATTTTTTCTTATTTTTCCCAGAAGTCCTGTATTCTGGAGCCTGAAGTTGAGAGGACAGATATAAAAATTCAAGATTACTTTTCTGACACAAGATTGCACTTGGTGTTTTTTCCCCAATTCGCAAAGTATGCGTTTTGCAGAACTAAGGAACCTTGTGGAAAACCGAGTTAGTTCTCCATTCTGTATTTAGGTATATTTATGCTCATCAGTGTCACCTGTGACAACTTACTTGTATTGTAGAACATAGGGCTTTTAATTTCACTGCACCTGTCTAAAATAGCTGTAGAGCTGCTGGCAAGAACATGCAAGGTTTAATTGGCTTTGATGGTCTCACTTGTGAGGAGATGCATAGTTGTCAATACTGTGTGACCCAAGGACTTGGACTTCCTATTTAAAACCAAACCTGCCAACTCACCCCTACAGAAACCATACTGGGATGAAGTGAGCCCATGCACAGCATTTGTACAGTGACAGTTCACTCCCTTAGAAAATCCAGCATATAAATTCAAGAGCTTTGTTTTATGGATATGAAAGATGGATAATACAGACATAGTCCTTAAGTATTTTACATATTTTTGCAAGCTGAGCCACAAAGAGATCACGATACTCAGCTAGGGTTCTGCTGTATGTAAACTCCAGAAACTGGAATGGACCAGCTTAAGTAGTTATTGATCATTCTTCTGAAAATTACTAAAGTACTGTGGCATCACTAGATCCAGATCTAAGTGTTATCTGACAGTACCATGTAAAACAGATTTTAGATTTTCACATAGTTTTAAATGCTTGTAGTCACTCAGTGAATTGCAGCAAAGGCAACCCAACATGTTTCATTAGAAAATATTTCATAGAAATAGAAAATATTTCATATTTTTGTAAGCTTATTTTATTTCTTTACTGTACAGAGGCAGAAAGACAAACCATCTCAATAAATGTACATCAGTAACTACCCAGAAATGATACAAGTATGTACACAAAGCCCAATTATTTCACTTCAGTGTTGATACCATAGTTCATGTAGAGCTGGACACGAACAGCAATTACACAGTGTAAAGCATAGCTCTTGGGATATTTACATCTTGTTCTTCATATCAAAGGCTTCCAATACACCAGTTCTTTGTTACACTTGTGTTTGACAATCCTGCTTAGTAGTGCTGCCTCAGAACTGAAAAGTGCATTTCTTCATTTTATACATTCTCACGCAGATGGTGAACTGCTCCAGAAATTGTTCTCCAACCTTAATTTTTGGAATTGATTATCTTTGTTTTCTGTCAATTGAAATTTTAAGGTAAAAAACCATTTTCCCAAAGCTCTGTAGGTCATATTCAATTAAGAAAACAAAGCTCCTAAATGCAACTTCAGAAACTGTTGTCTTTTGACTTGGGAGGATAAGCAATCCTGTGAAAACACTAAACTAATCCACTGCTGGATTTTTAAAACACTTTGGAACATTTCAGGTTAGGAATTTGCAGATCCAAGCAGTTTGGAAAAGCCCTATAACACAGATATTTACATTCTATATTAGATTCTTGTGTTGTAATTAATCTGGCATCTCAAATGGGTTTTTTTTCTTCCATCGGAGATCTCACTTTAAAAGGAAAGTAAAAAAGGAATATGATTACTCTAATTGTAGAAAATACAATTTTGAGTTATTCCACAAGCAAAATTAATTTAAAAAATACCTGGGATGAAAGGACAACTCTCCCCTTCACCTATAAAGCAGCACTTCCAAAGATAATTTCTTTCGCTGTGTTCTGAGCTACTGCAATTCCTGCCAGATTTATTTTTACACCACAACATCCTGCAGCACTAGGCTTCTTCAGAATCTCTATCCCATCCAATCTTGTTTTAGGAGATTGAAATACGACGTCCCCTCTTCTGTCTGCCCTCCCTTAGGGCAGGAATGAGCAGCAGCAGAGTCTTGTTTAAAACAGCATCATAACTCTCATGGCAACAATCTGAGCTGAGCAGGACTCTGTAGTGCAGCAGCTGAGAGCTCCATCCACGGGCTCTGCCAGGAAACCAGCAAGGAGCAAAGGAAGGAAAAGGCCAGGGAACAAGAGTGCCTTGCTCTGTGTGCACGTGCCTGACTCCCTGACCTCCTGTTGCCGTGAGGTAACACAACAGCACAGACTTCTCTTCCAGGCATTTCCTATACTCCCTATACCTTGGCCCACAATCTATGCTCTGAAAATTACACTTGTTCAACAGCACAGTTTACAGCTTAATCAGAATGATATGATAATCTTAAGAAAACCAAAATAAAATACATGTGGATAAAAATGGAAAAGGAGGATGTTACCTTCATCAGGATAAAATGATGTCTCAGTTTCACTAGATATGGACAGTATCCATATCTTCACAAGTTTCGGCACCTGGATTCTCTTTTTCCACCTCACATAAATACACATCAATGGGTCCTTTCGTGCTCTTCACATGTACTTCTATGTGATCCTATAAAACAGCAACTTGTATGTAATTCAAAGAATAAAGCTTATACATTTATTTCTGCACTTATTTTAAAGACAATAGATTAAACACAGAACAAATACAGCTATTTAAAATTGCTACTGCTTCCACACAAATTATGACATTACATACATTTGTAGGACAACTATTATGCAGAATTAAGCTAACAAGCTTTCATTTTTAATGAATGTGCATTTAAATATTTGTTTAGTCTTTCTATCGACCTTCAGATATATGACCAAGACTTACTTATGTTTAGGAAGAGTAACAAAATTTAAAAACTTGACAAAACATTGCCATGAATCCAACAACAAACTGGAGCACATAGCTTTAACAAAATAGTAAAGCAACTACTCCTCATCGCTTCTACTGCTTTCTTTCCACAGACACCGCGTGGCAAGACACAGAGCAAATAAATCTTACTGCACAATGGAGAAAATGTTCGGTGCTAATGTACAACTTTTGAAATTCTGCCTTTTTATTGCTTCAGGAGGCATCTGGAATTGTATCTTTTTCATCTCCACTGGATGACAATAGCTCCTTTTAGACCAGGGAAACTACTGGAGATCTATATAGTGGATCTAACTCTTTGGTTCTACTGATTAATTTCCTTTTCCTAAGATATCCCCACCTTTCTATCCACATAGCAAGGCAACTTCAATGACTATGCAATTGGGAAGATTATCAAAAATGCTCAAGCAAAAAAGAAAATGGAATTAAAGCTCTGTTTGTTATCTTAGGCTGTCTTCCAGGATTTGCCCTCTCAGAGCAGTACGAACAGTGGGCTCCCAGTACACAGGCCCCACTATGCAGCTGCAGCACTGCTGGGTGCAGGGGGCAAAGGTCCGGCTCCTCTGTGAGACAAGAATGGAGCCTGTGTATGCACCGTGGGGTGAGGACAGGGCACAGCCCCACTCCATGAAAAAATCCCTCTAGGTATCATCTACTAGAATGACAAAAGGGTTTTCTTTTTCCAACCATACTGTACATTGCATACTTTATTACAGCTTTTCCATTCTCTCTAACAAAACCAGGTAACTAAATCTCAGATACATTTATGGCTTAGTAATTTAGGCAAAAAGAAAAATACAGCAACTAAGCTTCTAAGACTATTATCCCTGCAGCACTGTTCAGTGGAACACAAGAACATTTAACTACCACTATCTGCATGACAGAGTGACTGGAAATCAATTACTGACTGCTGCTGCAAAAAATCAAATTTATGAACTTTTGTTTCTTTAGGAGAAATGCATAAAACTTACGTCTTTAGGAACTGGTATTTCCAATTTGGTTTCCTCTGGAGCTTTGATTGCAATCACAATCTGTTCTTGAAAAGCCTGAATGCTTCGGATATCCTGGTACGTCACATAAGCTAGTGTATACCTTGGTCAAGGATTATGTAATTTGCTAATAGGCACAAGCAAGAGTATATGATATGAACACATCAAGATATGTTGAGGCAGAATACCAACTTCAGAAAATTGATTCAGCAGAGGTCAATATTAGCTTTGTAAAATGAAGTATCAGCTAATGGTAGAAAAATACCTTTCTGTATTTCCAGGAAGGAAAAAAGGCTTTTAGAAATATATTCAATGTTATAAAAAAACCCCAGTCTTCACAGATGCTGTCATAAGTCTACAAATCCGAAGGAATACTGTTCTTCAGAAATTACACTCTGTTTTCTAATTGCATGAAAATAATTTTCTAAGACACTGTAGAACCATTTTCTTAAGCAGTAAGGTATAAAGAATATGAGCACATTTCATTTGTGCACACCCCTTAACATCTTGCCAAACAAGGGAGCGAAATAATATTTTATTGTAACTCAAAGCCAAAATTCAATCTTTATGCCATATATTAAAATGAATCTCTTTTCTATTGTCAAAACCCATCTGGAAGTCAGAACTGCACTGGAATCTCTTTCAAGAGAGAAGAGTATTAGGATATAACCAACATACCATTATATCTCCTTGGCAACAGGCCACTGGGACTCCGTTCTGAGTCCTCTCTGTCATCTCACTAAGCATCTTGAGCTCATTGTTGGGTCAAAACCTGCCTCTGAGGTGACTCAAATGGAGAGAACAGGGTGATGGTCAGGGTACTAAGATTATTCCCCACTTCATTCTTCTGCAGTGGAAAGGACACACAAGCAACACTCCTCCGAGGACAGGCTAGACTCTCCATGATACTGCAAAGCAAGGCACAGGACAAGCCTTCTCAAATGCAAAATAATCAAAAGTCTGCTATTATAAAACTCATTATCAAGCAATACTGCATACCTGTGGTATCAGCCTACACTTCTTACTAGATATGTATGCTCAACCAAAATCGTGTGTTAAAATAATGCAAGAGTTGAAAGGATATTTTGCATTTTCTTTGTCATCTATTAGTTCAAATATCTGATGAGCACAATTCTTGATTAATTCATCCAGAGCTTCTTCCATGATTGATAAGTCCAGAAGTTCCTCTTTAAGGTTCTGCTGGTCTGGTGCTCTTCCAATAAGTTGGTCAAGACTCTTACCTCTAGAAGAATATGAAAACTGTCTAGCATGTTTGTATAAATAAAAGCACATTTATCAAACATCAAGTATACTAACAGCAAACAGTAAGAAAGTCTGGCATCCTTTTTTCTGCTGAAATATGCTTCCATGTACTTACACACTTGATACTTGTTAATGTATTAGGTAATTCACATAGCATAAGGAAGGAAACAGAACTTAAAATACTATCTATGAGAAGTAACTTAATATGCTTAAAGATACTCTCAAAGTTATAAACATTACTCAACACTGTTGGGATTTACTGTTTCAGAAACTAGAAGCTTCAAAGCCAACTCACATCCACTGGATATGATTCTTAGATCTTTTCTGAATCAAGTTGATGCCATCCAACACATTGGTGATGTCATACACTCTTCGTTTTCGTACTCCTAGTGTTTTTGCTACTTCATTTAAATCAAGGACACCGTCTGGAGCTTTTCTGAGAAGAGCCATAAATTTTCGTGTCAAAAGCACCAAGGATGCATCAAATCGAGGCCTTTTGATGTCCACAGTTTCTGTTAAGATTTGGTAGAATATTTTAGAATATATTAGGGTAAGCTACTACATAAGCATGAAGTAAAAAATATGATAGCGATGAAGTAACAATGAAGGTAGAAGTCTGGAAGCACTGCAGTTTTTAATGCTTACATTGCAATGGCACCATATAAAGCATATTAACTACACATACCTTCATTTGTTTGCAATGATTTTATCTAAATAGCAAGCATACATTTTTGTGTTTTCAACATTCATGACTCCACACTGCTAGTATGGATATTAATAACTGAGTAACTGTATGCTCTAAAGGACATGGGATCGGATCACTGAGCAAACACCAATGAAACCTTTGGTTAACTATAGACAGTGCTGAGGTGCTGCCAGAGAAACACAGCTCTATCTCTGCTGCATGACACTATTAGAGTATTTTTTCACATCTTTTTGGTCCAGTTTAACCAGCAGACCTCACATGTAACCATTAGGCATGGTTCACAAGTCAGCTTGGCTTCGGGACTGTTTCAGTCTGCACAGGACCTATCTGCTCTGGAACTGAAGAATTCAGTATGCAGACAAACTGTTTGCACTATCTGTTCTCAGGGCAAAAGAGCTAGTCATTCCATTGCTTGATTTACTAATACAACAAAGATCTACAGCTACCCTGACACCCTGGTTTAAGAGATCCCTGTGCTATGTGTATTCATTACCACCATATTTGCAGAAAGAGCAGAAATCCCTGATGAATAACTTGAGATTGTTATTTATGTATGCAAAAAGCACAAAAAAGCACCCACTTCTGAGTCAAAAAGTCACAGTATGCACACGCTTATTTGATACTAACCAATAAAAGATTGTCAAATTCAGCTGTTACTTGTCTTTTCTCCTGTAAAGCAAACCCAGTATTTAATCTGATCAACCTGTGTCCCCAGCAATATTCCAGTCTAATGCCTCAAGAAAAGGTGAGTGTGTAAACAAAGTACCTAGACAACACTTTTACTTCAACCATCAGTATTTTTCCCAAGATGAATGAGATACACACTTTTACTCATAACATATCACACCCATTCCATGGCTGCAAGTTTGCGCACTCCTTAACACAAAGTGACAGGCTCAACAACTCAGTTTTGGACTGTGTTACTGTCAAAGGTGTGAAGCAATTTAGCTGGTGAGAAAATAAACAAAAAAAAACCCCAAAAAACCCAACACCCAGAAATTCACTCAAGTTTATTTCCACATTTATTAACACCAGTTGAAATGCAACATTTGGCAGTATGTTGTTCCAGTTTTCCCTCACTTTTCCTGTACACTATTTTCTGTATAGCAATGGGAAGGCATACTTGCAACAGATCTGAAGAGAAAAAATTATAAAGAACGTACAGCTTCACATCTGTTATTTCAGTCAGTGTTCAGCATTCTTCCTGCTCTGCTAATATTAAATATAATTTTTCATTTGTCTACAGCATTGTAGTCACATTGTAAAAAGGCATGACATACTGTAAGATTAATTTTTATACATGACACAGAGCAACTTACTTTTCACAAGCGGCGTGTCCTTCTGCACATTCAGGTCAATCATTGGTGCCTGAGGAAAAAGGGGAAAAAAAACAACTGTCATAAAATGCTTTCTACAGAGGGAGCTTCTTTAGCAGAAATCCTCAAATCTTTAGATGTTACAGCCATCACAGTTCTGACAACTCAACAGCTATTACTGTGAAGTGTCATTAGATAAAAGGAATAAATGTTTTTTAATTCCTGCCAGAACTTTAAGCCCTTCATCTCAGCACAACTCACTGTTTTCAAAAACAGGAAACACCATTGAACTCGCTGATGCCCAGGCAAGCTACAACTTCTCTTGCTTCTTCTGCTTCAATTCATGGCCATTTCCTTTCAGTTGCCCATCGTGTACAACTGTAAAATACCTGGTAACCTTTAAAGTTCTTAACTTGCTTGCAAGTATGGAATGAAACTTGTCTGGGGAAATTTGGAAATTAGGTATTAGAAAAATGGATCTTCACTCAGAGGGTGGTTGGGTACTGGAACAGGCTCCCCAAGGGAAGCAGTCACAGCACCAAGAGTTCAAGAAGCTCTTGGACAATGCTCTCAGGAACATGGTGTGACTCTTGGGATTGTCCTGTACTGGGACAAGAGTTGGACTTAATGATCCTTATGAGTCCTTTCCAACTCAGGATATGCTGTGATTTTACTGAAGGGCTGCAGTAGCTTAACAAGTTCTCTCAGGAGTTTATTAACAGCCTTCCTGTCCCAGTGGGCCTAAAACAGGAACAGCATGGCAAGGGTAATCTAACATATGCCAAGTAAAGAAAAACAATAATTTCCCTCAATTTACTGTTCTCCTGCTAAGACAGCCTCATATGCCTCAATGTCAGGACACAATACAGGTGCACACTTAGCCCACTGTCCATTAGGACCCCCAGGTCCTTTCAACAGGGTAGTCCCCAGCCTGTACCACTGCAGGGTAAAGGCAAGGCTTTAACTCTTGATTTTCAACTTCCTGGGTTTATGAGGTGTTAGATGACCCCTTCCTCCAGCCCATAAACTGCACATCCTGCACCTAACAGCAGCCCCTAGGACAGACCCTGCCAGGCACCCACCAAAGCTGCTCTATCACTCCCCTCCACACGTGGTCAGGAAGAGATGTAACAAGAAGTTCACGAGCTGAGGTATGGACCAGAAGAGATCACTCCCCAGATACCATCATGGGCAAAACAGACTCAACTTGGGAATATTAATTACATTTATTACCAATAAAATCAGAGCAGAATAATGAGAAATAAAACCTATCTTAAGAAAACACGATTCCCCCATCCCTCCCCAAGCTCCACCCCATCCACACCAGCAGCACAGGAAGAGGGGAATGGGGGTTATGTCAGTTCATCAAATGCTGTTCCTGCTGCTGCTCAGGGTGGAGAATCCTTCCTCTACTTCAGTGGGGAGTTCCCTCCCACAGAAGAAAGCCCCCCATGAACTTCTCCAATATGAGTCCATCCCACAGCAACAGTTCACCAACTGCTCCAACATCCATCAGTTTCCCTCAGGGTGCATCCCCTTCAGGCACAGCCTGCTCCAGCAGGGTTCAAGGCTCACAAGTTCTACCAGAAAGCCTGTTCCAGCATGGGCTCCACAGGTCCCTCCAAGGAAGGTGCTCCAGCATGGGCTGCCCACAAGTTCACAGCCTCCTTTCAGGCATCCACCTGCTCCACCCTGGCTCTCCTCCATGGGCTGCAGCTGAGGCTGCAAGGAGTCTCTGCTCCAGCACCCAGAGCACCTCCTCCTCCTTTTTCTCCACTCACCTTGGTGTCTGCAGAGTTGCTGTCTCAGATATTCTCACTTCACTCTTCTCTGGCTGTAATTACAACTGTATAATAACTTTTTTCCCCCCTTCTTGAAAATGTTATCACAGAGGCACTACTACTGTCTCTGATGAACTCTGCCTTGGTCAGTGACAGATCCATCCTGGACCTGCCTGGAATTAGCTCTGCAGGACATGGGGGAAACTCCTGGCAGCTTCTCACAGAAGCCACCCTGCAGCCCCCCACCTGCTATCAAAACCTGACCACAAAAACCCAATACAGGTTTATACAAGCCAAGGTTTCCTTTGTTTGGGGTCCCTGTTCCAGCTGCTGTACCAAGATTAAGTTATTTTAAGGGTCCAGATGTCTGAGCCTCTGCTATGGGAAACCTGGGGTCAATCTGCTGAGGGGACCTTGGGTGTGTGAGTGTGGGGGTGCAGCTGCAAAGGGGCCTCAGTCCCAGCTCAGGTGGTGTGAGAGTGACTGACAAGAGTGGCTCTTGAATGGTCAGACAGGAAAATTTCTTCAGTATTGTGACCTTTGACATTCCTTGCTAGTTTCAACACTAAACTTTGGCTTTCCAACCATCATATCTGCATGTCCAGGCACTTTTTATCCTTGTTCTTTAGGCTATCCTTCAAGTCTGTCCTGTTCTTTTTGCCACGAGTGTCATGATGAAACATGTTTCTCCTTACTGATCTCAATCTCTTCAGCTCCTCCAGCTTCCAAAGCTGCCTTCCCAAATTTTCAACCTACCTCTTGGCAGAACAAGCTGGAATCCAGGTTCTGCACTTTACTACTAACCTTCCTTGAATATCCCACTGTTAAGAAAACTTCCCAGTCTGACCATTCATGAGATTCCCTGTAAGTCTCATGCTGTCACTGCTGGGACTGAAGCCCCTCCATGGTGGACTGCTTCAGTGTGCTATTCCTCAGTGGCTCAACCCCAGGTTTCCCACTGCAGAGTCTCAGATGTATCTCCACAAAACAATTTATTCATGGTGAATAAACAGCCCAAGCTGGTACCCCTAAAGAGGGATTCACAATAAAGGAAGCTCTAAGTTTTTATACCTCATAGTCTACTCAGGTAAATCTTGCCCTGAGTTCTCTGCTCCTGCTGTGTCTCCCCATGCATCTCTCTTCATCCACCTTGGCAGTGCCACCACCTCTGTGTCCTTTTGTTACCCAAAAAGTTGGCAGTTCATGGCTTCTGCTGCGTCCCTCAGTTTCCACTCACCTGGTCAGTGCCACCTTCTTCCTGCCTGCCCTTTGTCATCCCAAGGGTTGGGCAGTTCATGGCCTCTTGTCCAGGGATCTCACCCATCTGCTGCCTGCAAACCGAGCTACCTGCAGAGATGTAATTCCCACCCACTATTCCATGGCCATCACAGGCAAGGCTGTTAATGATTACCAAATCTTTGACCTCCTTGTTTATAAGAAGCTGATTCAGGAAAGTATCACCCACTGTAAACTCATCTAAGTATCTTCATCAAGAAGCTGTGCCAAACACTATTTGCTTCTTACAATCATCACTTCAATTAGCCACCAAAAAACTTATGCAAACTTTCACGGCTTTAAGAAAATACTACCAAGTAACCTTTAGCCCAACTGACAAGATTAATTTAAGGAAAAATGCAATGTATTTAAAATATATCACAAAATTAAAAGCATGTGCCCTCACGATAAACTAAAAAATATGTAACTTTTTTTTAAAGTTTTACGAAATAGACTTTTTTGCAAACCACTTCATAGCATTGCTAAAGGTAACTGTGGCAGCTGCATGTAAGACGATCACAGACGTTAAGAGGAGAAAACATTGTGTCCCCTTTTCTCATACTTAGCTACACCATACTTAGCTGGATTAAGAGGCCGTAAGTAACACAGGCGAGAAAAACCATCCTTTTGCATTCCTGCACCTTTCCCGGGAAGCCCGCCCCAACGCCACGAGGGAGTGAAGCACCCCAATGCTCCTCTCGGCTACCACGCTGCCCGGCCCGTCACATCTTTCCCGCCCAGAGACGTAGGCCGGGCTTTCGGCCGCCCCCTCACAAGCTCCGCGGCAGGAGCGCAGCTGCAGCGCCGTCCCGCCCTCTCCGTATCCCCGGGCAGCGCCTCCCGCCATGTACCTCACTTACACGCAACGCGTCCGGCTGCAGCGGCTGCAGGCTCTCCCACTGCTCGGGGCTGGCCATGTCGGCGCGGCCCCGCGGCGAGGCGCTGGAGGAGGCGGAGCGCACAGACGCCCTCACGCCGAGGCTCCGAGCCGCGGCCGGGCGCGGGGCGCCGCGGGGCCGCTCCCGCCCTCATCGCTGCCCGTCATGGCCGCGGCTCCCGCGCGCGCCTGGGGCGGGAACGGGCGGGAGTCGCACGCGCCCTCCCCTCCGCCCCCCCGGGGCGCGCGCGCGGCGCCGCCGCCTTCTCCCTCTGTTACCCATCGGCCCTCGCGGCGCCTTCCCGCCCTGCCCGGCTTCTCCCGGCTTCTCCCGCCCCCCGGGACTGCCCCCGCCTCTCCCAGCGGCGGCAGGAATGCGCCAAATCAGCTCCTTTCCTCCCCTCCCCTCCCGTCAGCCTGCCCCACCGGCGCAGGGAACGGTCCCGTCGCCCCCGTCCTCGCCTTTGCGACCGCGGGAGCGCACTGAGCGCTGCAGCGGCCAGCGTGGGTAAAGGGAGGAGTCACAGATTATGCTGAGTTCGAAGGGACCCACATGGATCGTCGAGTCCAGCTCCTGTCTCTGCACAGGACACCTCAAGAGTCACACCATGCGCCTGACAATGTTGTCCAATTGCGTCTTGAGCTCTGGCAGGCTGGTGCTGTGACTATTTCCCTGAGGAGCCTGTTCCAGTGCCCAACCACTGGTTCTCTGGGTGAAGAAGCATTTTCTAATATCCAACCTAAACCTCCCCTGGCACAACTTCAGGCCGTTCCCTCAGGTCCTGTCCCGGGCACCGAAGAGAAGTGTCGGCCCCTCCTGTGCCCCTCATGAGCCGCTGTAACTGCAGTGAGGCCCCCCCTCAGTCTCCTCAGGCCAGGTGACCTCAGGCACCCCTCACACGGCTCCCTCAAGGAGAGGGTCCTCACTGGTTACTGCGAGGAGGGAGACTTCTCTTTCCTCCAGCTAACAGCATGAGCTAGGAGAGAGCATTCTGGCTGACCATTGCCATGCAAGCGTGTGTGAGAGTAATTAGTATTGACTCCCTGCCAAATTATCTGGTTTTGTCAATACTTGCTGGTACGAGGCAGCCAAAGCTATGGGTGTCGCTCACAGGGGAGACATGGATAGAATGCCCATGTCAGGTATAAGTTAATTACAAGAGGTTTGTGAGTGAAGGGCAAGGTATATTCCTCTAGGGCCAGACAAGAACCATCAAATGTGGCACGTCCAAACTAATCCTGTCCATTTACCTTGCAGCAACATCCTTTCCTAAGTCCCAGTTCCATTGCTCCTGCCCTTTCCTCCATACTTCTGATAACATTTTACAAGCACTGATGCCTTGTCATTTGCCAGCCTCAGCAGTACTCTCAAAATTTCCAATTGCTTACATAACTTTTGTTTGTCAGACAAAAACATTTCTTTAAGACACAGCTCCTTGTTAGGTAGTCCATTTGTTGCTTGATTGCTCTTCATGGCAATTAACTCTCTTCTACACCAGGTAAATCTGTCATGGAGTTCTTTTGCTTCAAGAATTATGAACTTTTTTGCTTCTCCCACCCACATTTCAGGTGAAATTTCTAGTCCTGATTTCATCAGACATGTAACACTGCTGGTCTGATATGAGGAATTCAAAGCCATAAAGAACTTTTTTCATATTCTGTCAGACCAAACAAGTCAACTAGCTCTCTATTATCTTGAATAAATACTGAATTAATTTTCATTTACCATGTGTTTCATAGCCCTTCCAGTAAGACATTTCTTTAGGGTAGCTTATGGTATCACCAATGATGTATCAGATGCCTTGATAGAGGATGGAGTTTTCTTCATAGCAACCAATTTTCAGTCAAGTACTTGCATGGTAATAATTGACCTTGTGGAGAAGTGTAGAACGAAGGTGAGTTGTTCTTGTGCTCTAAAGAATCAACCAGAATAAAAGAGGGAAAAATATATTACATCTCCTCAAAGGCAAAATGTGTTTCAGGAGATTTGGAGGTGTGCATTTAATGACATCATGCAAATGCTGGTTGTCAGTATTGTGAGGCAAGGTTAGACTACTGCAGGTGCAGGTTTTCCTATCATGGAACGGGCACATGATTACACCAAAATGTAAAAATGCTCATTTCTACTGTGTGTGCAACATAACCTCATTGCTAATTTCTCTCTGGTCATATATGTAGTTCCACAAGGAATGAATATTTCTCACTCTTTTTTGTATTCTGGAAGATGTATTTTATCATTGCAGTTCCAGATTGTATAAACTCACTGTGATAGAGCAGGTTTTTTCCACCTGGAACAGCAAAACAGTTTGGAGTAGATATTTAGAGCCATGTTAGTTTGAGGTGATGTGAGGAATGTGCTGAGCAGTGTTAAAGTCACTGAACAGGAATTGGTGGCTGTTGGCTGCTCAGACACTAGGAGGATGTTAACAGCTCATAATTTGAGGATTAGGATACATGAATTCCTGTATTAACCCATGTGGAAAACATTGCATCAACATTTAACTATGCTGTTGTTCTAGCCAGTCATAAGATCAAATCCTATTGTTCCCGTGCTTCTCTGTCCTTGCCTGCTGACGTTATCTCACAGAGCAAAGAAGAGCCCCACAGGGATTCAGGTTCAGAAAGTATTTCCTGTATTTATATGAAAATTAATAAGACTTATTATTCTTTTAAATGAAAATCAGATGTTGAAGTAACTTGCTTGACTATCAGGAGTTTTTGCTGTGGTGTTCTACTGTTAAAGTTTTATTCTAGTATGTTATTACTTACATTTTACAAAGCTGATCATTAAACATCACACATTCTTTATTAGAACCATCTTGGAGATGAAAATGTAAATTATACCCCATTTACTCTTACCTCAATGCATATTAAAATGACTGTGCATTCTTTTAACACCTCCAGACATTATTGGACAAGACATGATTCTTCAAATAAAATATTTGATTATTTATCTGTAATTGGTTTCTTTTTCATTACATTGATTCTTAGTGTGCCACCAGGGGGCAATAATTCATTTCCTAAATCTGATCTTTTACCATCAAAACCTGCCAGAATATTGAGTGGATTTAGTAACATTTCTTAATGACTGTATGTGAAAGACAAAACATAAGTTTCTTTAAAATGCTTCTTAAATTACTCGTGTAATTTAATATTTTACTGTGCACTATTAAGGTTTTACTTTTATTTTGAGCAGCTGAAATTTGACTGCTTTGTAAAAGTTTTTACTAGTGAACTTCATGCAGCACTGAAATGATGAATGGTTTGTATTTCATGCAGTGTGGGATTTTTTTGGTGTTTTTTCTATTGCCATTGTAAAATTCAAAATTTGTTTAAATCATATTATTTCCCCATTCTTTTACTTTTAGCTGCACTAATATACTATTAATATTTATTAGCTCATATATGTGATCCTGAAGTTGCAAATACATGCATTAAAAAGTATCTTATATCCTTGTATGACTTTTTCTTTCTTTGTGTACATAGTGGTTACAGCATTCTGCAGTTAAAGCCAAGGCTGCCTTCTGTAAAACTCCACAGTTCTGTATCCAATGCAATCTTTCCTTTCAAGACAATAATCTTGTAATTGGATCTTACATTAGTGCACGTGTGTTCCTGAAAAGATGAGCCAGAGGAAATATATTCCTGCAAAAGTAAAATGTCATGAAAGACAGCAATTTCTGTAAATATCTGTTTTAACTACATGGGGCTATAGAGTTATCTAATTTTTGTATATTTGTGTGTCAGTCTGTAGAAGCTTCCAGGCCTCCCTAGGGTCCTCACCACTGCATAACCATTAGGCATAAAAGTATACATTTTATGCTGTAAAATGTAATGACTTAAATCTGTTTCTGGCAATAGTAGAATTTTTCTTCATGTGCTCAGCTTAATTTGCCTGAAAAAAATTCTTCCTGTACACATGGCAAATAGTCACCCTTTAGTCTAAGAAGGCAGATCTCCTATTTCTTCACTTTGTTGTGTGAGTATGAGGAAGATTGAGTCAGTTAATCAGAGCAGCACAGTGCTAAACAGCATTTGTTTTTTTCATGTCCTGAATGACACTTAAAAGTCATGGATGTGGTATCACATTGGGGAACAGGGTTTAGTTCATGATATAAACTGAAGCTTCTGCTTCTTCTGCCTGTAATTCAGAAAAAAGATTATACAGATGGAAAAAGGACCCTTAAGGCGACATTAGAGTTGTGTAAATAGCAAGTCCTTGCTGTATATGAACACTGGTGTCTTACTGAAAAAGTTCAGGGAATATTGTGTTCTTAGGAAGGTTTGGAAATTTGGCAGTAAGCCGTCTGCCATAGTCTGACAGAGCCTGGGGGTTTCTAGGCAAAGTGTGGGGGCCTGAATATATGTTGTATTGTGGGATCTGTGTGGGTCTGAGTTGCTCCAAACAAGCTGCAGCTGCAGGGTCCTTAGTTGGGCAGCAGCTGTAGCTCGTGAAGGTAACTGAAATAAATAAGGGTGGGTTGAGAGCCCAAGAGGAGTCCCTGAGAAGACAGGAAGGACTGTGCTGCAGAGAATGGAGAAGAGCCCCAGCAGAGAGGCAAGAACAACACTGCAGTGAAGGTTACAACAGAGCTCCTGAGAAGACAGGAAGGACTGAGCTGCAGAGAATGGAGAAGAGCCCCAGCAGAGAGGCAAGAACAACACTGCAGCAAAGATTACAACAACTGGTGCCCCGTGCGAGGAAGAACACTGCAACCAAACATTGAAAGAAGGTATGGAATCCCCCGAACAGCCGAGAGCTGTGGCAGCCTGAGAGCTGGGACT